AAGCAGAAGAAAATCCAGTCAACCTGGACATCAAACTGTAAGGTGTTCATAAAGCAAACGGTTCACCAGAGGAGGCTAAAGTGCTGAAGAGATACCAGAGAGACCAGAAGAGATATCAAGGAGCTGGACAAGTACCAGTGACTCCAGAACAGTGGCTTTGTCTATCAGTGTGACTGACTTGAACTATTATGACTATGGACTCTTGTGAAGAGCTCGACTGTTTAAACTTGACAATGGCTGGAAATGAAAGGGACAATGATGATTGTGATGGTTGGAACTTCAAAACATTTAAACTCACTGATCATAATATGCATGATTTTGAACAAGATATTGACCCTGAAAGTAATTTTCTTGATATAAACAACATCTGCCGTTATTACGCTGAAGATCAATTTAACATGAACATGAAATCAGATCATGGAATGTCAGTTATTCATTTTAATAGCAGAAGTTTATATGCAAATTTTCACAACGTTAAAGAATACGTGAGTCATCTAATCAAACCATTTAATGTGATAGCCATATCTGAGACCTGGCTTGGCACTGAAAAAGGTGTGGATTTTGAGTTGAATGGGTAGGAACTGAATATACAAACAGGAAAAATTTAAAAAAAAAAGGAGAAGGAGTGGCTTTGTATGAAGATAAAACATTAAATTATAAAATAGTGGAAAATATGACAACTAGTATTGATGATGTGATGGAGATTATTACTGTAGAAATCTACGTGGAAAAAAAGAAAAATGTAATTGTGAGCTGTGTATACAGAGCACCTGTTCCATAGAACAAGAAATTTGCAGTGGGTGTATTTACAGATTTGAAAAAAGCATTCAGCACAATTGATCACCAATTGTTTGTCAATAAACTGGAAAAGTATGGAATCAGGGGGGTTGTACTAAAGTGGATGAGAAGCTACATACGTAACAGAAATCAGTTTGTGGAAATAGGGGACTGCAAATCAACATGCTTAAATATAACTTGTGGAGTCCCACAGGGGTCGGTCTTGGGTCAGAAATGATTTCTTTTGTATATTAATGATATATGTAGGGTGTCAAACCTCTTAAAATTTGTGTTATTTGCAGATGATACTAATATATTCTGTGATGGGGAAAATTTGCAGCAGCTTTTGGAGGTGGTCACAGCAGAAATGAGCAAATGAAAAACTTGGTTTGATTTGAATGAATTATGATTAAATGTAAATAAAACCAAACTTATGCTGTTTGGAAAATGCAAAAATAAATACACAAGTAAAAGTAATGATAAATGATGTTGAAATAGAAAGAGTGCATGAGAACAAATTTCTGGGTGTGATTTTTGATCACAAAATCTGCTGGAAACCCCACATAAAACATGTGAGAGCAAAAGTAGCACAGAGCATTGGAGTTATGGGGAAAGCAAGGTACATTTTGAATGAGAGACATTGTATATTCTGTATAGTTCACTGGTGTTACCATTTTTCAAATTACTGTGTGGAAGTATGGGGCAACACCTACAAAACCACCTTACAATTACTAAGCACAATACAAAAGAGAGCCATTTGTATAGTACACAATATAGGATATTATGAACACACCAACATACTGTTTTTAAAATTACACACCTTAAAGTTTGGGGATCTAGTAGAATTTAAGATTGCATAAATAATGTATAAAGCAAAAAAAAAATTAAACTTCTACCTGTAAACATACAAAAACTGTTCAAAGACAGAATGAGGGTTTATACCTTTAGAAGGAAACTAAACTTGGAACAGCATTATGCTCGGACCAATTTAAAAAGTATGTGTATTTCTATTTGTGGGGTGGTTTTGTGGAATGGTCTTGATGAAACAATTGAACAAAGTGTGAATATAATGCAACTTTAAAAAATGTACAAAAGACATATCTTTGAAAAGTACAGAAATGAGGAAGGAGAATGTAACATGTACAGATGTTAATGGTGCTTGTTCATTTTCTTCTTCTTTTTTTGTGTTTTTGTTTTGTTCTGTTCCCTTAAACAGCTCGATTGGAGAAGTTGTTTTCTTTTTTATTGTCTGTTTAGTATATTGTATTGGATTTTGCATTTATTAATGGTAAAGAATGGGGGTAGGACTTGACAGGCCGAGGCTTCTTCCTGCCCCTTTTCGAACGAGTCAAATGCATATTATATTGAAGTTGGCTTTTATTTTTTTATTTTTCTTCTCCATTTTTTAAAATCATTAGTTCGGAAGTCAGCACAGACCNAAACAATGTCAAGTTGTGTAGAGTGTTCTTGTTTGTGAACAATGGCTCAGAGATTTAATCCAAGTTGCCAGGTTGGTCCACGCAACCACCCCAACCAGCTCGCAGAGCTGCAAAAAGCCTTGGATGCATACAACGCTAAAAACCAGCAGCTGATAGAGCACAACATGCAGCTGGAAGTGCACAACGCAGAGCTTCTGGAAGACAACAAGAGCGTCAGTGAGAAACTGGGAAACAGAAGAAACAAAGAAACGACAAAGAAAAAGGGTTGCTGAAGCTGGTTGCTTTGAAGAAGTGCAACCACGACAGCAAGGTGGAGGAGGCTGTTAGACAACAATAGCCCCCTCTGCCTCACCCACCCTGTCTCCCACCTCTCCCCTCCCCCTCTATCACCTTCCAAGACTTCCATTCATCCATCTGACTGACCCTCATACCTCCTTTTCTCTATGCTCCGGTCCCCTGCATCACCGTTCTCCTTCCTGGAGAACAGGCCATGTCCTTACACAAAAGCCCACCACAACAGCAAGACGGCACACAAGCCCCAGTGGGCCATAACAGTGCTCCAAATGGTGATTCTAAATTGACCATGACTGCGCATGATTATCATTTTCCATATACATTTTTATAAAAGATTTAGAATTTTATAGAAGATTTAGTTCCTGTGAGTTGTTAGATGAAGGACTGAAAGTAACACACTGCATACTTCCCATTTTTATGTTGCTCTGCTGTTGTGAATTCTTAACGATTGAATTTTCAAAGTTCTGTGAAAGTGCTCATCTGTTGGTTGGTTCTGCGGCTCCTGAGATTTGTTCTTCTCCTGCTTATTTCTAACCACAGCATCTGTGCAGGGTTCAAGATGTGGCTGGAATTTTCAGCCTGTATTTTCACGACAGTCTGTGACAAAGTGGATTTGGATCTTGGCGTAACATTGGACAGAATTTTAAATAAAAAAAGGTTTACACCAATGCCCTTGTGAAAAAGGCACAGCTGCATCTGTACTTTTTAAGGTCACTGAGAAAGGTCAACCTGTCCCAGGAACTGCTGCTGTCCTTCTACAAGAGGTCTATAGAGAGCATCCTCACCCACAACATCTTGGACAGGAGCTGCTCTCAGGCTGACAAGAAGGCACTGGATAGATTCAGCTTCCACCAGGCCCAGGCTCCANAATTTTATAAAATGGATCAAAATTATATATACCAACCCACAGGCAGCAGTTTTAACGAATGGACTCAGGTCTGAATACTTCAACACTCACAGAGGTGTGATGCAGGGCTGCCCTTTGTCGCCCCTCCTATTCGCTTTGGCCATAGAGCCTCTTGCTGAGGCCATAAGGGTGGCACCTACAATACGTAGTTTAGAGATTGGACAGCTGTGTCATAAAATAACCTTGTACGCGGATGACGTTCTGATCCTCCTGACTGACCCTGAAACATCTGTACCAGGTCTTATAGATGTGATTGACAGATTCAGTTGTTTCTCTGGGTATAAGATCAATCTGACTAAATCAGAGGCTATGCCCCTTGGCTATGCCCCCTCTTTCAATAATACCAACTACTGTACCTTCCTTCCCTTTCAAATGTTCTCCCAGTGGGTTTGTGTACTTGGGAATCTTCATCACCCTATCCTTTGATCAGTTATATAAAGCCAACTTCCCACCCTTATTTTGTAAAATTAAGCAGGACCTAGAGCAGTGGATGTCACTTCCTGTCTCTTGGCTAGGACGCATTGCCCTGATCAAAATGAACATGTTGCCTAGGTTATTGTATCCTATCCAAATGATTCCTGTTCTGTTTTCTAAAAGAGTGTTGAAGGACATAAATGGATGGCTTAGCTCTTTTATTTGGAGCAAGCGCAGACCCAGGCTTAAAATGGCAGTTCTACATCTACCAAGTTCGATGGGTGGTCTGGACTTACCCAATATCAAAATGTACCAACTTGGTGCCCTTTTAAGATTTGTAAATGACTGGGTTAAGGGTAAAACTTCAATCTGGATGGACATTTAGACAGCACTGTCACAGTGTAGACTAAGTGACCTATTATTTTTTAACAATTTCAAAGAAATCAAAACTTTTTGTACAAATCCTGTAACAATCAACACTCAAAAAAGCATGGCGGCTTGTTCGTCGTCTTGAGGGAAGATCAAATATAACATCCATTTTTACCCCAATAATAAATAACCCTGCCTTCCCCCCAGGCTCTTCAGATCCTGGTTTTCAACAATGGTCTATTAAGAATATTAAAACTCTCGTTGACCTTTTCTTAGATGGTACGCTCATGTCATTTGAACAGCTCACTAACAATTACAAATTGGCCAAACAAGATTTCTTCCGCTTCTTGCAAATTAGGCATTACATAACTCTAAGTACAACTCTTATGGATCACCCTCAGATATCTACTGTTGAGAAAATTTTGTTTCAACAACAATCAAATGTGTCTCTGAGGTCATTTTATCATGTACTTCTATTTCTAGTATTGATACGCAGGGGGTCAGAGGTGTGTGGGAGAAGGAGCTGTCTGTGACCATAGATGAAGAAAAGTGGGATATCATTTGGTCTCTTGCAAAAAAGATTTCAATTTGCACTCGGACAAGAGCAGTGCAACTTAAGATTTTACACAGACTACATATCTCCCCTCACCGCAGGCATCTCTTCAACCGCACTCTCTCTCCTCTATGTCTCAGGTGCAAAACTGATGTGGGAACCTTAACTCATTGTCTCTGGTCTTGCCACAAACTTCAAAGTTATTGGGCTGAAATCATAAGTGAAATGGAGAGAATTTTTCATATTAATATAGATATGGACCCTGTNTATTATTTATATTTCTCATATATCCACAGTGTTACTACCTCAACAGTGCAATACATTTATTCTACCATTTGGCTAACTGCATATACTTCCTACTGGCTTCTTTTGTAAATATTCTTATTTGTCTTTTTATACTTTTACTTTCATACTTCTGCACCACTGGAATTGTCTTTTAATTTCCTTGTACTTTGAGGACAATAAAAGCATTCTTTTCTATTCTATTTTATTTCATGGTGTCTTCAAAGGAGAGCCAATTTTTGAAAGTTGCACTTACTGATTCTGTCCACTAGATGACAGAAAAACATAAGCTGATCTGAACTGCCCTCAACATGTCACCATATACATAAATATGTCAAGGCCCAGATTGGAATCTTGACACCAATCTGGGCCTTGACATATAAATATATATATATATGTGTGTGTGTGTGTGTGTGTGCGCGCGTGCGTGCATGTGTGTGTGTGTATAAAATTCAGTAGAGTCTATAATAATAAAATACATATATTTTGAACAGCAGCCGTTCAGATTATGGATGAGGATCCAGAGAGGGGGTTGCAAACACTGCTGTCCTGCTCCCCTCTGTGCAGGTTAACACTGCCTTTCCTGCAGCTGCAACCGTGAGACACGATCATTGCACCAAGTATAGTTATGACAATCACCGCAGCTATGGCCACAATGCAGAGAGTCAGGGAGAGGGAGAAAGGACGAGCTGTGGGTAAATCGTGAAAAATGTTTAAAACATTGAATAAACTCAAAAAAGTAGTCAACTGAGGGATGTCGGATCACAATTACCATTTGAATGTATACAATTAAAAAAACAACTGTATACAATAGTAAAGTCAAAACTCAGTTTCGCCATCTTTCCAACATACCTTTTTGAGTCAGGGTGATAGTGACAAAGCTTGAGGGTTGGTGGGCAGATTCCAGTTTACAGGTGTAACTTCGTGACAGATCCTCCTCTGACACTTTTTTGAAAACCAAAGATGCTGTCACCTTGTTCTTATCAGCATTTTTTCCCCTGTAAAGGAAACGAACGGAAAGGATGAGGAAGATCAAGAAGCACAGCTGTTAGCTGCACTTATGCATGTGTTGAGTGGTGATTGTGGCTACATAGCTGTGAGAGGAAGGACGTGTGTGTGAAATATTCACCGTGTATAATTGTAGAAAAAAGGAAGGCTGCTGTTTGTTTCCACAAATGATTCCCCACTTAACCAGAACACGTCATCAAACTTGGAAGTCACAAAAGCTGTGCAATTAATTACCACTGGTGAGTCTAGAAAAAGAAGAGTTTACACTAAATGTTATAACTGATTCATTTTAAAGCTACAGCCAATTGTAGGTCAGTAAGTGTATGAATTTAGACATGAACTCACCTAGCTCTACAGCCAATACATCATCTTTGTGTGGCCACAGTATCTTACTGCTGGGCTGGATATCTAGTGAGACTGTAAAGGTCATGCTGTATGTTTGGCCTTGATACAGGTATAATCTGGTGCAGTTGTAGAGGCCGCGGTGTTTCTCATCAACTCTTGAGAAGATGCCGTCTCTTGGTGAAGACTCGCCCTTCTGCAAGATACAAGTTGAATTTTTAAGACCTGAACACTGAAATTAAGAAAAACCTTAGAACACCACAACAACGATTTCCAATGAAATCTTAATCACGCTCCAAAATCTGCTGTGTTTAAATACCTTGTTCCATATTATGCCGTTGCTGGTGATATTTACAGGCGGGAGAATTACAACAGGGCATTTCATTGTGCAGGACTGTTGCATGTAACATGTTAAATGGTTCTGGTTCTTCTCTTCATGCTCTCTGGACTGTGTTGTGTACACTGTCAGCCTGAACCAGAACCGGCTGCTGGCATTCCTGTCATGGCATTAGAAGGAAATGTTGACGTTTTGAATAGAAAAAGAGAGAAAAGAGACTAGAGCAAATGTTAAAGTAGGGACGGCTTTAAGGATCAGTTTCAAAAATACGAATTTCTTATTTAGCCAGTGTTGAATGTATGCGTCCAGATTTGGTTTATTGGCTAACAAGGTTCCGTGCTGTAAAGAACAACATTACAACAAAGCTGTCAGCTGAGACCGTGTTGGCTGGTGTAGCACAATGGTGGACACTAGTGGGCTCGTAAGAACTTTTGCACGGTCATGGTTCATAGAAGATAAACCCTTCTGACTTTAATGATACTCTTTTGGGGGGGGTTGTTTTGGTTTTGTGAAGTGAAAAAATCTTAAGGATGGATTTCTGTCTAGGGACAGACATTCATGTTCCCCTGAGGATAAATTGTAATCTCACTTTTCTCTCACTTGTTTTTTTTTGTTCGTTTTTAGCATATTAGCCTTCTGGTGTCACATTTATCTCAAAGCAGAACACCACCGAAGAGCTGTTGCATTGCCTTTGTTTGTCTTTGACTGCAAAGGTCAACAGAATGTCAAGCAACAAGTACAACTGAGTACAAGGACAAAGATGCAAAAATGACATTAGACACAACATTCTTCAAAAGTTATCACAAGACAAAGCTTGCTCTTTAGAGCGTGTAAATATATTTCAGCGATACACAAAATAGCTTAATAAAATCTATTTCATGTCTGAACTATTCATGCTACATAGACATTTAGAGATTTGTTCAACATCAGACTCAGATGTCAAAGCCTGGACAGTTGAAATATGTTTTCTGGAAGCAAATCGCTCAGATGTAATACATAAATGCCATTATGTATTAGGTTAGGAGTGTTTGTATCTTACCCACGAGAGCATGAATAGTTGCCCTGATGATTGACAGAAGCTCTGAGAATAATAAGGCTCCGTCCATGAATCAACACATCCACGTGACTCTGCTCAGCTGATGTGGACATGTTGCTGGTCACATTCATCTCCTGGGAGGTGTGACTGGTCCACAGCACTTTAACATCTCCATCACTGACTCTTCTGAAATAAGGACACTGCAGCACCACCATCTCACCTGCTCTGACATGTAACACCTTGGGTTCCAGTGGCCACACACCTGGAAATGAGTTTAACACATTTTATTTCATTTAATAGTGTAAAACTGCACAATTAACTGGTTTGTGGCTATAGAGAATTAAATGTTATTATTGTAGACCACAGTGGATTATTAGTCTTGTAATCAAAATATATGTCTACCAGTGAGAAAACTGCTGCAATTATAAATGTGTAGGATGCAACTCAAAGGAATAATGTGTGACTTATATGCTTGCTTGCTGTAGCTGCACAGGTCTAACAAAAAAGGCCACGCTTCGTACTGATGTCAACGGAGGTTTATTCTTAATTCTTCTCTGCCTGTCTCTTCGGCAAGCACTGCGTAACACCGTGAAAACGTTTGGGCCTCTTAAACCACATGCAGAATGGCGATAACTTGTATTAAGTGTCTCTGTTGCCTGCCCATGCCGATTCTGACCCACAATGCTGCTCTCTTAACCTTACTAAAAGTTAGTCATGTGACCTGACTTATCAAAATAAAATTCTGAATAAAATTGTAACTTTTCAACTGAAACTGGATTTTAAAGTGACCTATTTTTTAACAATCTGTTCCTTTTTTTTACCCTTTTCAACTTATTTTAATTTTAGTTTTTAATTATCTATGAACAGTAAAACAATGAATTGACAATCAAACACAAATTAAACACACATCACAACCTGTCTCTTAGACAGTTACACTTGCCAAGAAACACACATGGAAATTGACTGTATAGCCATAATAAAGCAGCCAGTTAGTTCAGCACAGCACAAAAACTACAAAACTGAGTGTCCTATGTGATCGACTCCAAGAAGCCACTCAAGAAACCTCAAACTGACGTGTAGTTTTTGACATACAGTGATGAGGTAATGCATTATTGAGCTTCTGGTTTTTTGTTTTTGTTTTTTAACCTGTGTTAAAATAAAGCCTCTTGTCTAAATCTCAGCAATGAGACTAGTAAGAGAGGATTTACCAAACAATCCGGCTTTTGCTTTCAAGTTGAGTTGGAATAACATCTGGAGCTTTTCATCCACTGTTTATTTAAGTGCTTTTTCAGGTATGAGAAATCTTTGGAGGAACTTCAATCCAGAATCTTTGTTATTTTTATCCCTGAAAATCCCTCTGTGGCAGGTCACATTTTCTTAGTAGTTTTATATCCCAACTGTGGATGTCGTCCAGGCAACATATCAGCCTGATGGCACTCTTCATAGTAGCACATAATTTTAAAACAGTACAGTGATTATCTAGTCTCTCAGTCAATATTTAGTTAGAATTTTGGACTAATGCAAGATGGAAAAACAATGGATTGGCATGGACTATTGATTAAATGTTACATTTAAAATGTTGGCTAGCTTGGCTTACCAAGCAATATAAGTACACATAGTACACAACAGTCAATACGCCGCTTCTTTGTGTACATTACACCTGCTGCACTATAACAACAGTTTATGTGTTTATTAAGCAAACCTTATGTGCAAGTGTCAGTTAACATGTAAAATAAGATGTTTTGTGTGTGATTTTACTTGTTATGA